TTTGATTGACTATGTTGTTGTGGGTAGTGTTTTTTATTTTCAAAATTTGCCTTGTTATGTGATAACTGTAACGTTTCTAGCATGTCAGCCCGGTCATTAAGGAAACCAATTAAATTATCCACCTTAAGCTGTGCCTTGTGATTATTATTAGCAGATAATGAGGTGCCTTTGTATTGTTCCCATTCGCGTTCAGTAGTTGGGTCTAATTTAGATACCATTATATAAATAATCAGGGTATCCCACGATTCAGTTGGCTCACCGAGAATTTTTAATGCACGCAAATTCTTTAAAACTGTGTCTATTAATTTTCTTAATAAAGCTGGAGACTCTTTGTTGATACTTGGCATTGTGAATAGAGATTTAACGTGATTATGAACCAGCAATCTGCTATTATTGTAACGATTGAGTAGTAATTCCCAGGCAATTAAATAGTTGTCACTAGAAAACTCAACCGAATTTATAACCAGTTCCGCGCTTCCCCTAAGTGACGATTTAAGGTAGTGGAACTTTTCTATATTACTTAACTCCTGAGAATTGTGGACTAAAGATAGAAAAGTGTCCCTAAACTCTAACCATTGTTCACACAAACCGTTAAAGGAGGGTAAAGAAATAGTAGGTAACTTTATAGATTTACTACTATGACTACAAGCGTTGGAGCTGCTGGCAAGTTGGTTTGGGTTCAATAGATATTCAGCCTGCGCTAGGATACTGTAATAACCATCTTCGAACGATTCTCTCTGCGTTAACTGCTCATCCAAATCAACGGCTAAGTCCTCCAATTGACTCTGAATATCATTGAATTCTTTATATAAATTTGAAGCCCCTTGAATACGCAACTTTAAATCTATGCGAGACTGACTTGAAATATTCTCTACTTTCATGTTACAGAGATAGTTAGCAAATTTGGTTAATCTACCCTTAACTATACCGCGTTTCCTCACTAAATCCTTAATCAAGCTCTCATTGCTACATTTGTAAGGGGATTTTTCACGCACTAGGCTTGGATCTACACTCATTTTGGTGAAAAGTAGTAAAGAAGGAGTACTTACGATTTGAAATGTAACTGCCGCAGCTGTTTCGCGGGTTGAGTCGTAGGCTCGTAGTAAATATACACAACAAATTAAGTACTGGAATAAGACAAAATGCACAGTATTACACAGAGGAAGTGGAGATAAAGCAGGAATAGACGGGATGGCTGGCTGTACCTTTATGCGCGTTTCAAAGGCTAGCTGGCTTCTCCCACGATTTGCGCTTATGCTTAGTGGCTCCTGGACTTCCGGTTGCTGCTGTTACTGCTGTGCTTTTGTAGAACCTCTCGACCTTGCGACTTATTTCCTGGTTCGTTACAGACGTTGAACCGTCGGTTGCAACAGTCGCTGATTCTTCTAGCGTATTATCCGGCTCGAAGGACCAAATGTTTCGGCGTTATGCGTACTCTTCAATAAAGCTCAGTTGTTTACTTCAATAATGCGTATATTGCGAATATAATTACAAAATAAAATAAATAAATGAAAATTGCGAAAGAAAGTTGAGCGTACAAAATTTGAATTGCGTAGAGAGTGTGAAGAGGGGGGTTTTTTGATCACGTGGGTCAAAGCTGCTTCTACTGGTGGAAATGGAGCGACGTTCCGGTGTAGGCAGAACTTTTTACTCAAGCGTCAACACCTTATATTGGTTAAAAAAAGAAATAAAACCTACTACAAAAAGAATAAGCCATTTGAACATTATGATCTAAAATCAAATCAAATAGCGCGCGCTTTCGCGACTTCCTGTTACACACTTCCATCCCATTTCACGAAATCACTCCCACAAATTACAGGAAAGCGAGAGGAAACATGTTACACATCAAAAATGAGCGAGCCTTACAGTAGTCGCGTATGATGTGTAACATTTGAAACCTCACCTAATATAAGAAAAAATGAAATAAAACCTACAAAAGGAATAAGCCATTTGAACATTGTTCTAAAATCAAATCAAATAGCACGCACTTTAGCGACTTCCTCTTACACACTTCCGTCCCATTTCACGAAATCACTCCCACAAATTGCAGGAAAGCGAGAGGCAAGATGTTACACATCAAAAAATAAATCCTCTACTACAGATCTGCTTGTGGTACGAGTCGACACAATACTGGGAGGAGTTTCTACAGATGCGGCGCAGGCGCATTTATAGCGAATGTGAACTGGAGGTGGTGCGGCACACACAAGTGGTGTACCTGGGTGCCTACTACCGCGCGCAGCTCTGCTGGGCCCTCGCGCTACTCATGGAGCCCCGGGTACCCTGCCCCGCTATAATGACATCGTCATCATCAACATAGTCATCGGCTACAGGCGCGGGACCTGGATGCCTACTACCGCACGCAGTTTGCTGGGCCCTCGCGCTACTCATGGAGCCCCGGGTATCCTGCCCCGCTATAATGACATCGTCATCATCAACATAGTCATCGGCTACAGGCGCGAGACCTGGATGCCTACTACCGCACGCAGCTCTGCTGGGCCCTCGTGCTACTTCTGGAGCCCCGGATACCCTGCCCTGCTATATGGCATCATCATCATCAACATCTTCATCGACTACAGGCGCTGTACCTGGATTCCTACTACCGCACGTAGCTCTGCTGGGCCCTCGTGCTACTCATGGAGCCCCAGGTACCCTGCCCTGCTATATGGCATCATTATCATCAACATCGTCATCGACTACAGGCGCTGTACCTGGATGCCTACTACCGCACGCAGCTATGCTGGGCCTTCGTGCTACTCATGCAACCCCGGGTACCCTGTCCCGCTATATGGCATTGGCATCAACTTAGGCACGGCACCTAGGCGTCTACTACCTTACGCAGGTATGCTGGGCCCTCGCGCTACTCATGGATCCCCGGGTACCCTGCCCCGCTATATGGCACCACCATTGTCAACACCATCATCAGCTACAGGCGCGGCACATAGGGGCCATCTACCTCGTACGGCCCTGCATCTCATAGAGAGCTGACGATGATTTTTTTATCACAAAAATATTTAATAAGTACTAATATTTTATTATTAATGCAGATTTTGACAATGGAAATTCTTTATTTGGTATAGAAAAGTAAGGCGAGGTGTGCGAAGTGGCGAAGTCCGACAAGCACTTGGCCGGTTTCTTGTTATTCCCAGCTTTGGCACCTATGATGTTTATTACATCATTTACATTATTGTTAGACACTGTTTTCTATTTCCACCAACTATCTTTTTTGAGTCTCCATTGCAGAAAATTTATAACAAACACTATATCGGGGCACTAGATAACTCAAAGCAATTATTTGTTTCTTAGGTTTTCACGCACATCACTCATTAAATAAAACTAGTTTTTACGGGTTAATGCACGAAACTTTATTTATTTATTGACGTTTCGCAGCCTTTTCAGGTCTGCATCGTCAGAATAATGATTTTTTATTTAAAAAGCTGAGCGGCGGTTCGTTCCTCGAATGATGCGCGAGGCTATTGAGATTAAAAAATATCCAAATTTCAATAGGGAAGATGGTTGGTATATACCACCAGCTTGGGAACCTATCATACAGGAGATAAAATCCCAACCCCGAGCATACACTGCAAGACCATCAGATACTATTAGTTCTTTTTGTTTGCATAATTTAACATAAGAAGGAGATAGAAAGCCTCTCTTGAGTTTGTTTCGCCGGTTCTTCTCAGGAAGGTCTCCCAATTTTGGAACCGGTGGTAGTTTACGGTAGTTAGGGTCAAATAAATAAACTCAAAATTACAAACAAGAATTTTGAATAAAATACTTTATTAAGTAAATTAAATAATAAATTCATACATAGACAATAAAATTTTAAAAATCTTCCAATGAAATAACCGAACGCTCAATATAAGTCTTTCGAAGGTAGCTCGACAATTTTAAATAAAAAATCATTATTCTGACGATGCAGACCTGAAAAGGCTGCGAAACGTCAATAAATAAATAAAGTTTCGTGCATTAACCCGTAAAAACTTGTTTTAATCAAAGCAATTACTGATGTTTTCTTACATTTATTTATGTCTTTTTTCAGATTGTATTTATACCCAGTATAAGCGATGACCCTGTTTACAAAAGGGTCATCAGGGACAAGATTATGGCAAGTGCTTATTTTTTCAGGTGTCACAGTCAGACCATAAAAATAATAATTCCATATCCAAAGAGTTTTCTCACTTTTTAACAGATAATATTAATGTTTTCAGAAATACAAGAAATATATAACAATAGTGATGTCATCCTACTCCAGCTTACAACTCGAATTTGCCGATCGAGTTTTTGTGTTTGACAGCAAAACATTAGTGTTTGGGGGTACGCCTGGTTACATGTTCTTTAAATACGGTAAGAAGATTTTTCTTTATAGTTAGATTAAAATTTCCAATACCAACGCCAAGGTTTGGCTGGCTTGTCTTAATCTGAAGGTATATCAGATGATGACACGTAGATCACTAATCTTGCTAACGATGACTTTCTATGACAATGTCACCTCGCTGATTACACTATACTTACCACCAAGCTTCACATCTACGATAACGGAAAGAAGTACTCTGATGACTATTTGATGACATAACACTGTGGCGGGTGCGAGTGTCCACACTCATCTCGGTTCGCTGCTCATTCTGTGGCTGCCTTTAACGCCCATGCCTACAATGACCACGCTTTTGACAAGCGTGGTTATTGTAGGCAAACGTCATGCTACCAAAACAACATTAGAACACATATTGACACTGTGGGGAAACGATGCTGAATTTAGGTCGGGAGTACCGCGTACGTATGACGTTTCGCGGTAGCTACAACCATGGCAACCAGACCATGTTGGAGCTTCTCCAACGAGCCAGTAAGGGGGTGCGGATGTCCGCGCTTAGCTCGGCTCGCTACTTATACCGCGGCTGCCTTAAATTCGTTCATCTGCAAGGACTACGCTGGTCAAACACTCGTCATCAAAACATCATCAGTACCCCTAGCACGAACCAAAATCGAATTCGTAAATTCGTGTCCGAAATGTCATTGTCAAATGTGTACTGATTTTTAGTTCCCGTTACGTCCAAAGTTGCGCTGCTGTTCAAGTTTCCATACAAAATTTGACATTGACATTTCGGTTTGCAAACTATTCGAATTGGATATTGGTTCGTGCTAGGGGTACAGTACTTAACACTCTAGGAAAACGTTGGTGAACTCAGGTCGGGAGTACCGTGTACGGATGACGTTCCGCGGTAGCTACAACCACGGCAGCCAGACAATGTCGGAACTCCTCCAGCGAGCTAGTGAGGCGGGTGCAAGTGTCCGAGCCCACCTCGGCTCGCTGCTCATACTGCGACTGCCTTCAAGCCCCACGCCTGCCGTAGCTGCGCTTATTAAACACTTGGACGACAACGCCTCCAAGTACGGAATCATATCGATGAGCATCAGTCTACCCGACACAGAGGAAGTTACTAAAAGGTATTTGTTACAAAGTGGGTAGTACCAAAATAGAATGTTTGCAAAATCTTGTTACAGACTGAAGACACCAGTATCGCTCGTATGTTGACAAGGACAATGTTAAATTTGGCCTTATAAACAACAGAAGTTTGGCATTTATGTTAATTCTTAGCATATTTTTGGGGATTTATCAGTATTTTGGTTGTAACGGACACTTTTAGATAAAACTAGCTGTGCCCCGCGGTGTTACCCGCGGCTTAATAGGCTGATGATGATGATGATGATCCCTTGGTATCGGCGAGCAATGTCCTCTGACAAAGCGCTTTTTATACTTGTACCACAATTGCCGGGGATAGGAGAGTCCGCAGGTGCTTATCATAATCGCAAAGAGCTCTCTCAACGTAGTCGCTGACCGGCACAACATTGCGCACTCCAGCGTTGCGTCCTAGTGGCCGTCGTCTTCAAGCAGCTTCATTGCCTCGCATGCTTCTTGAAAAGTGGCCTTTTCCTGCCCATCGACGATTTTGAGCGCTTGAAAACTGGTAGGACCCCGGATTCTAGTAATAGCAACAGCAACCGTACACAATAGCACTCAAAGTGTGTTATGTGTACGGTATAAATTCTACCGTGGGCATCTAAGGCTTTCACACCAGGCCAACCGTCGACGGGTGCGCCCTGCACGCAACGTTCCATTGTTTTCGTGACACATTCCACGTGCGAGCAAACTCGTCTTCCTGGCACAGTTGCTCGCTCCATACCTTGAATGATTTGACACCGTTTGTCAGTTTCCGCGTCGTCGTCTCCCATAAAATACACCTGTAAAAATTGTGGCTGTTCATTAGGTGATCATCACTCATATTGTAATGTAGTTGGCCATGCACTGTGAACGTTGGGGAAAATCCAGGCATTGCAAAAAGGACAATGGCGAAATATTTGTTGAAGTAAATCTATAGCGTCTATAGATGTCATTATCAGAAATGTTAATAAAATAATCTCAAAAGATTTATTAAACAATTGAGGAGGGTTGTCTAAGTCTGGAATTAAAAACTTAAAAAAAGGGAAACACAATTGACTATTTATTTTTTATTTTTATTGTGGCTTGGCCATGATGGCTTTTGAGCCATTCATTTTAAGTGATTTTAGTGATGAAATCAACTTTAAATATGTTGTTCGTATGTTTTGCATCGCTTTACGCTTGAACTGTATTTAATTATCTATCAAAAATATCGGGAAACATTATATTTCAATATTATACTGAAACCATATTAAATAATTTCCACAATACTAAAAGAGTATGGCGACAATTCTAACGAAAAAAACTATAACTGTCACTGTCATGCTTGTCATCAAATTGTTGTTGTTATTGTTATCATTATATAACATTGTTTGTGCTTAGGTGCATGCATATTGCAAAGATTCCAATCGAAGTATTGTGTTTTTCTGAGATTTGTTTTTTTATGTGACTTGGACTGTATTTGGACTTTCGAAATCTTTCTCTGCGACTGTTGAGTAGTGCTTGCCTAAGACTTCCGAATCTGATATTTTGCTGTGGATTTTGGACTCGATTCTGTCCCATACTGTGGATTTTATTTCATTGTATCTACTATCTACGATATTGTGATCAACGATGTGGAATACAAAATATATAAAAAGTGTTGCATATTTAATTAATATCCCATTAGTACATTATTAGAAATCCTTTTTTATACTTTATTATTGCAGTGGGCATTTTCAAATTGTTAAGTACTTCTTACAGCACAGACATTGTATTTGAACTCAATAACTCTTGTCTGATAATAAGTATTTTGACGCGGTTGGTCAGTACCTACGCCAAAGAAAGAAAGAAAGCCAACTGATCATACATTGTAAAAAACATTTTTTTTCGTCACTAATCTTCAGGACCGGTGTACTTCTATAGTTCCGTTCCACGTATTTTTTATTTTGATATAAAATACTCTTGAAACAAACTTTTATAATTCGTTTTCGCATTACTTGGTAGGACATAACCTCCAAAACTTCAAAGTAGAATATCTATAAATCCGGACTTCCTATAATTTAAGAAATAAGATGAATCAAATCAAGAATGTAAACTCTATAATTTAACATGCAATTCATTTATAGACGGAAGAAAAAATTTCAACAAAAAATTGTATGGGAGTTCGCCATTGTCCTTTGTCCGCCCCGAACGACGACATGTAAAAGCATGGGTTGTACGCAGTTTTAGAACCATCAAGATTCATCAATTTCACCTGTAAATAATGTATTTAAGGGTTCCACAGGCTCTTCTAAAACAGGAATGGCTACTTTGCCCCCAGAGCTACACATTCCCGCTGTTTCCTCATTCCATTTTAATGCCCCACAATGGTGACACACATTTTCCATACGACAAATTTTAATGAGCCTGTGGCTATTGTAATCCAGTGTCAAGTCATATTCAAAACCACATTTTTCAAATAACCCCCAAGCATTTCTGGTAAATGTTTGCCGGCACTCTGCTTGATGCTGAGCGACTGCGAGTCGTCTAGAATTTGTCTCATCTACTGTCTCTTAAGCACGCGGATTAGACATTAGCTGGGATTGATTTAGCCGTCGAGAAGTTTCTTCATCAGGTGTTTCAATGGCACGCTGAGTGGACATACGCTATGCGTTTTCTTGATGCCAAGTAGCTGCTACTTCAGGTGTCTCTAATGCACGCTGATTAGCCATAAACTGGGCATGCTCTCGCCGTCGAGAAGTTGCTTCATAAGGTGTTTGATTGGATCACTGTGTGGCCATAGGCTGTGCGTTTTCTTAACGCGGAAAAGCTGCCTCATCAGTTGTCTCTGATGCACGCTGAGAAGCTATGCGGGTAGGATTTTCCAGACGCCGAGCATCAGCTTGCGCAGAAGTTTCTCCAGTTCTGACTTCTGCCTGACGTGTTGCTTGGTCACGTCTGCGCTGTTCAGTATCATAAGTAGATTCTTGCTGTCTTGCAATTTTCATAGATGAAGCTCTTTGTGAGCTCTGTGAACGATTTGGTTTACAATTGTGAGTCAATTAGATACACAAAAAAATTATAACAATATCGTTGTCCTAGAAATATGTATGAAATATTAATCTATCAAAATAGCTTTGACATGAATGTCAAAAAATATGTACCTACTTAAACAAAATTCATTTGCATTGATTTTCCCATCAAAATAAGATATTTTCCCGCAGTAAAATGTAGCCTATGTGTTAATCCAGGGTATCAGCTAACTCCACACCAAATTTTATTAAAATCGTTCCAGCCGTTTAGACGTGAAGAAGTAACAAACATACACACTCACAAACTTTCGCCTTTATAATATTAGTGTGATTAGTGTGATTATAAAGATGAAAAGGACTTTTATCCTGATGATGACCTACCTACTGACATAAGGATACTACAAATAATACCCTCGTAACTATTTCTTAACGTGCCATTTAAAGTTACTTTTCTTATAATTCAGGGATTAGTGATTAGATTTCAAAACGAGGTCTGTGGGTCGGTGTGTATCAGAAAATTGAAAAGCCTAAGTTAGGTAATTCACAGCCTAATAACGGGATACTACGCATAGGTATTATTTGTAGTGTTCTTATGTCAGCAGATAGGTCACCAGGATAAAGGAATGAATGAGTGAATGAATATTCTTAATTGCACTATTTAACAATATACATAAAACATAAAACTCAGGAACACAAACACTAAAGGCGGCCTTATGGCTAAGGTAGCAATCTCTACCAGGCAACCAGGCAAGGACCGAGAACTGTAGTAATAACAGAGTAATTGACATCCAAAGTTTTGAACTGCCGCCAAAACTGAAATTTCTCTACCAAAGCTTAAACCAAAACCAACAATGCTGAAAAATCAGAAAAAAAACTTGTGAATTGCATTAATATTTCAATTTATACAAAACTACGTTTGAATAAAATTAAAATAAAAAACTTTCTAGCTCTGACAAAAAATGCCAAATACCGTCATACAATTTGAGCCACCAAAACTTAGGAATTGGTCTAATGACCATATTTCGGCTAATTGCAAACGTTAGAGCACAACTAATGTAAGTGGGGTGTAAAAATGCGAAAAAATGAATCGCTAAATGTGTTGCTAAGCGCAAATTTCGAGAACAGCTGAACCGATTTCGATAATTCTTTTTTTAGAATATTCCTTGAAGTACGAGGATGGTTCTTATACAGAGAAAAATAAAAAAAAATGCCTGAAAAAGTCCAAACACAACACTTTTCTATACTCCCATACAAACGATTCGTAATAATACTTAAAAGTCAATTTGAACTTTTTAATACCATACCATAAATTCCAATGTTAGTGGAGAGGTTCCGGGAAGGCAAAACAATTGAGTAACGTGATGCCAAAAAAAGTTTGGAAAAGGCAAATATACCTAATTTTTTTTTTTATAATTACATAAAGAGTCATTTTAGTCTACACTACAGCTCTACACCGAAGCGAAGCGAGGGCGGGCCACTAGTCCAGTAATAAATTATGACACTTGAAATTTCGCTGCGAATGTCCAAGCTGAGAATGCCAGTGCCCCTTGGGATATTCCCTTATGGTTGGTTTTTATTTCAGGGCCATAATTGAATCCAAAGCTGCTGCATTGGAACTTTCTCCGGCGCATGAGGTTTTATGTTACCAAGCTTTAAAAAGGATTGATAGTAAGTGTTTAGAACTATATGACTTGATTCCTCTTGGGAATATTCATTGCTATGCAGACGATAGTACAGTGCATGCGGGGTATCTCGGACAAGCAGCGGCTGAGCAGGCGGTAACCAAGGAGAAACGGGAGAATCTTGTCATTGAACTCAATCAGGCTTTGGACCACATTTCCGAATGGGGTACCAAGAACTTGGTTGAGTTCAATGCCAAGAAAACGCAGGCTTGCGCTTTCACGGCAAAAACATCGCCATTCCTTCCCCTTCCCTCTCTTCAGGGCACAACACTACCGGTACAGAGCAACATTTCCATGCTCGGTATGGAAGTTCGCTCAGACCTGAATCCAAAGGACTACATCGAAACCGTGATCAAAACAGCTTCACGCAAACTCGGAGTCCTGAACAAGGTGCGGCGTTTCTTCACGCCCGATCAACTGTGCTTGTTGTACAAAACGCAAGTGCGGTCCTGCGTGGAATATTGCTCGCACCTCTGGGATAGCTCCGACAAGTACTTGCTCGATGCTTTGGATAGGTTACAGCGGCGCGCGATCCGAATCATAGGCGATGAGGAGGTGACTAAACACCTTGAGCCTCTTCAATTACGTCGTGACGTGGCGTCACTAAGCGCGTTCTATCGTCTGTACCACGGCGAGTGTTCTGAGGAGTTATTCTCTCTTATCCCACCTTCCCCTTTCCTTCAGAGGACCACGCGCGCTGGCCTACGTTGTCACCGTCTTACTGTGGCCACAATTCCAACGCGTACAAAGAAATTTGGTGACTCATTTCTTTGTCGCACTATCCGTAAATGGAATGCTCTGCCCGCTCACGTGTTCCCTCCCTCTTACAACCTGGGATCCTTTAAAAGAGGCGCGAAGAAGCAACATGCAGGCCGGCAGGGTGAGGATGGCTGGTGTGGCAGGTAGAACTGCTGTTTCAGCTATCTTCGCATCTGGAATTCACCTTCACTTAACATCAGGTGAGGTGGAGTCATTTGTCGGACCTATCTATAAAAAAAAAACTATATGTAAAAAGTATTTTTGTTTATTTACGTTTTTGTTTTTAGTTTATTGACGACCTCCGTAGCCGTCTTTATTCGTCGTATTGGTTTGTACGCCGGGTTTCATGGTGACGCCAACTCGAAAGGGGTTCGAATCCCGATGAGCCAATTTTTGTGTGATGAATACGAACATTTGTACTCCAGTCATGGATGTGTACTATGTATTTCTATATAAATGTACTTATTTATACGCCGTGTTCCTGAGGTTATACACTTACTTTAGCATGTTATTCAGACTATTAAATTGATCATTTTTTACTATGGACACTTTTATGAATTCCAATTTCTTTAACATTTTTTATTTTCATACAAACTAAATGCTTCGATGTAATTTATCTTATATGAATTACTCTTTAGCTGAGCTGGCAAAGTCGCATTTGAAACTTTGGTTCACGTATCCACATAATCTTTTTGAAACTTTTCTTGACGTCAACAATGTTTTTTTTTAAATTTTGACTTTTGAAACTATGACTTAATGACCATTGATAAAGAGTTGATAGTTTGATAGTTTTGGTTGCACAAAGTGGCAACATCTCACAGATAAAGACTCTTTCTCACTGCACAATACAATGAAGTTGGTTAAACTTAAATTACCAATAACTTAAAAACTATGCTATTTAAACTACTACTTTCTTTGTACGATATGTTTAACAATAGCTATAGAAGTATTATTCAAAGTTAATGTAGGTATATCCTCAGGAATACGGTGTATATCAATTGGTCCAACTAGTAATGTCAACAATTTTTTTTTAGATTTCTCGCACCTCGGGGTATCCGAAAATACCCCATGTAAGAGCATGTACCGCGATTTTTCTTAGTTTTCGAGTTATAATTTTTTTTGTGTATTTTTAATGATTTCTGCCAGTGAGGTTTCAAAAATTCTTATCTTTTTTCGTTGTAGGTATTTTGCAGTCTTTTTTTTGACATAATTGTCTTGAATATTGATTTAATAAAAAAATAACTCAGCTTCCTGCAATTACTTAAAGTTACTCAAAAAAGGCTTGAAAGTTGGAACTTTAGTTTTTAGTAGGATTTACTCAAACATCAACTTCAATTTAGAAGTACAAAAAGTAGTTTCCATAGGTTCTCGCTAAAATTAAAAACTCCGCATGCTTCTAAACTACCAAAAATCATAAAAAAATGTACTTAATCAGCCTATTTATGTTGTAATTGGTTTTTGAAGGTGGATAGGCAAAAAATCATTAGTAAAATAACTTACTTACTTAAATAACATACTGTGAACACTTCAAATCTTAACTTAAAATACTTATTGTGGGTTACCTACAATGCGAAGAGATGGCGCTGCCTTGCAGCTTAAGGCTAGGAAAATTTCGACGCGGCTAATAGGGCCGTGGTAGCATAATGGTCAGTGCATTCGCCCGGATAGCGAAGGATGCGGGTTCGAGTCCCGTCCGCTGCCTGGTCCGTGTGGATTTTTTTCTAGTAAACTTTTCTTTAGATTTAAACATCTAGCAGTTAAATGCTAAAAAAATAAATAAAATCATAACTATAATTGCTATTTCTTCTTTCAAATGTTTAATACTTGAAAAAGTATTCATTGGACATTGTGGGTTACCTACAATGCGAAGAGATGGCGCTGCCTTGCAGCTTAAGGCTAGGAAAATTTCGACGCGGCTAATAGGGCCGTGGTAGCATAATAGTCAGTGCATTCGCCCGGATAGCGAAGGATGCGGGTTCAAGTCCCGTCCGCTGCCTGGCCCGCGTGGTTTTTTTTTTCTAGTAAAGTTTTCTTTAGATTTTAACATCTAGCAGTTAAATGCTTAAAAAATAAATAAAATCATAATTAAAATACTTATTTCTCCAGGACCTCGTTCATGGAAAAGAAAATTAACGCCCATATTAAATATAACACAATTCAACAAGTTTGCAGGGAAGTACATTGCATTTTACCGCTATTACAAAAGTTACGTTGTGGTCATGGTACGAATTGTCTACTTACATTTTAATGAGTATTTACTTAAAATAAGTAAGTCTACCTGACGATACTGGCTAAGTCTTTTCTACATTATTCAAAACTGTAGTCAATCGGTCACATTCGGTTTGCTATTTTCTAAGTTGAACTATCTACGTACAGGTCGCGGAAGGTAACTCTAGCGTTGAACAAAACGCGGAGGGGTTAGCTGCGCATGGGTACGACTGGAGAGCCAATCGGCGCAACGCAAGCCCACCCGCGCACCTCTGTTTCCCCTCAAGTCATCTTTATTTTTACTTCTGCGCAATAATGGTCTGCGCTAGAGTTTCTTGCCGCGACTTCTAATGGCCAGCCACAGGATCTGTGACTAAAAATTTACTGTACTTCAGAAGGTACTTTAGGCCGTTGCTCCCGTCTGAATTCTGCAGTCGTTAGCACTCGCAAAACCTCCCTGAACCCCGGAATTGTTTACTCTGTCAAGCAGCTCTGTCAAGGAAATATGAGTCGGGAAGGTCACGATGTTCAGCTTTGAGCTATGACTGAAGGAGGAGAAGGACACTGTTTACTGACCGTTTTGTTTGTAATCGTAATATTGCTCCGAACTAAGTAATAACTGCAATTCCAATGGACTAGCTGGTGGACTGGATCGTCAAATTCCTCAGGCTACAGAAGAAAAGGCAGATGGAACGTACGGAACACGCAAGTGCGGCCACCAAAGCAAATACAAAGTCAAAATTAAAGACTTTTTTTGTCTTTGTGAACAGTTTTTATAGCAAGGCAGCAGTTTTGATAAAAACTTAATACATATATACGGGACGTATTCACAATACGCTGTGTTGTAGTGTATTGACGTGAGTTGATATTCGCTTTTGAATGTATATTTGCTTTGGTGGCACGCAATCTGTATACCGTGGGCTCCATCTGCATTTAGTTCTGTAATCTGTGTTAAATTTACTAAAACTTGACATCAGGCAAAACGGAGTTCTTTTTGCCAAACCACCAAAATGGAAATTATCGTGTAATAATGTGTTTAATAATGTGTAATTTTTTCTAGTTATATTTACTTTACACTTAAACATCTAGCAGTTACACGCTTAAAAAAAACGAAATATAATTATCGTGTAATGTTTTCGGTTTCTCTGATAGGACTCAGTCACTTGTCATTCTTCATCATTATGCCTTTCTCGTTGTAGACAATATCAACCTTAATAGCAGGAGTGCTAATAGGGATATCGTTATCGAATATTTTGGCCCATCTGGATAAAAATAAGAACGCATATATGACGACACACAAAAAGGTAGAAAGAAAATGTTTATATTTAATCCTCTTGAAGCTGTAACCGTACAGAATAGGCTAACGAGACTTATTGAGGTTGTAAATGCTTCTAAAATTGATTTGCAGGTTCTTTCTGTAGAGGCTTTGGAACAGAAAACCACGATAGTTGTAAAACTTGATAACACAACTAGTGCCAGATCCGTGGCCAATGCGTATGTACTAGTTAGATAGTTGTAAAACATGAGTAGGTATTGAATTATCAACATTGAAACTAATGTAATAAAACTCGATTTCGCAGCTATGTTCTCTCTGATACTAAAGCTACCGACAAAGAAATTCAAGATATGAGGTATACAGCAATACCGCACTCTGAGGTAAATGGCAATACCATTGAAGTACCTCATATAAATTTATCAGATTCCAAAATTAAAACGTCTTTTTGTGGTCTGTGGTTTTCAAACTTGTTGTTATACTATTACCTATATTTTAAAGATTTTCCTGCATAATTTTCTAATTGATTAGGAAAATACTACCTATTCCAATGAACGATTATTGTATGCTACCAATTCAAATCCAAATAAATGAGATGAGATGTATATAATCTTAGATTACAGAACAAAAGGCAGATGAATCGCACGTGAACATAAAGTTTTAATCAAAACTGTGCCGCCTTTAATAAACTGTTCAAAAAGACAAAAAAAGTCTTTTTTTTGTATTTGCTTTGATGGCCGCACTTCAGTGTTCCGTGCGTTCCATCTGCCTTTTGTTCTGTAATCTGAGTATGTAATGGTATTAAAATGAAACTGACTTTAATGATTTATTTTATATTTTGGTTTCCTGTATTTTACTTAGTTGTCTCTGAAGACCCGTTTCCTCGTGGTCCTACTAATTTGTCCTACTAGTGGGATCACGAGGAAGCCCTATTCCTCATAGTCCATATTTCCTTATGTCAAATTCGAAGTATGATAGATAGTTGAAAAAAAAATATTTTACTAGAAAAAGAACAAGTCGGTAAGGTACGGAACCAGCGCACATAGGGGTATTTTATATTTATCAAGGAGGCAAGAACGCAAAATTTTAAAATACCAAGTTGTATTTTTTTGTGACAGTAGGTATATTGTTGTTTGACGACGAAATATAGTTTAAAACTATTAAAATTTCTACCCAAATTTAAAGTTTGAAAAGGTTTTTGGTGTATTTCCGGGTTTTTCCCGGTAAATTTGTTAATTGATAACGACAGGTTATAGTTTATAATTAATTATTATGAACTAATTAATTAGCCGCCCATCTCCGCCCCCTTTTTGGATCTAGAGGTGATATACCAAGACAATGAAAACTCAGATTATGATTCTGGAGGAGGTTTCTGGGGACACTGAAAGTGTTGAGGGTAATGAAGAACCATGGAACTCATCATCATCATAGTTACATAAATTTTAAAACATTTTTTTTAACAATATAATAAAATAAAACAATTTTTACGGGTTAGAACCCGTGAATTTATTTATTTATTTACTGCGTCTTCAGAAATAATGATTTTCTATTTACTTTGTCGAGCTACCTTCGAAAGACTTTTATTGAGCGTTCGGATATTTCATTGGAAAAAACTTTATTGTCTAATAACAAATAGACGTAAGATAAATTTCAGCTTTGTGACAAATAAATGTCAGATAAAGTTCAGCTTTATGACAAATAAACGTCGGATAAATAAATTCAGTGCATATAACCCATAAAAATCGTTTTACTTAATGAGTGATGCGCGTGAAATCTAAGAAACAAATAATATAATAAAAATCGAATTTATAAATTACTAAAAAAATATTTTTTCCCAATATTTTGTTACTATTCATACAAAATAAATTATAATGACTTAAAGTTAACCAGAGAAAGTCTCCGTGTTGTAATAAAACGAAATAGTGAAACCTTCTATGGTGTTTTATTATAAAAAATATTCTTACAATTTCGCAGCGCAGTGCCTTGCAGACCAGAGACCAAAGAGAGAGAGCGAGAGCATAGATTACATAGACCGAATTTACATTTTTCTTTTTTATAGAACATACAATTTATAGCATTAGATAGGTACTTCAACTCTCCGGAATAAAAATAACTTAATAAGTACTTTTGAACGGCTAGATTAGCAAAATACCCCTATATGCAGCGTCTTCCGCTGTCCGGGTGGATACACTAACAGTAGTATAGTGGTTAGTGCATCCGCCCGGACAGTGGAAGACACAGATTTGAGTCCTGCCTGAAACCTTGATCGAGTTGATTTTTTTCTAGTAAAAAGTTTTTTAGATGACTTGTTACATAACATAATCATAAAAATAAATGAATAGACCAAAAACATTAAATGTTCAAAAATTATCTACGAAAATCTGGTAGACTACTAAGAACTAGGCGTTTAAAATTTGATAATTTAACTCAGGCTTCATCGTGGTCCCACTAGTAGGACAAATTAATATGACGACGAGGAAACAGCCCTCTGAAGAACACGAGTTGAGATATAGGTGGTACTAAAGTATTAGTATTATATTCGGATGATTTTCAGAGTATGACCGAATATCTTGTGACGCGCGCGATAGACTCGCCTCAGCATTATGTGTACATGTACGCCTATGGGGTGGACGTTTCGAGTGTCGCAGGAGGCGGATTATTGGTTAGAATGCCTTTCTTATACTTATGGATGCAAATTAGAATCATAGTAATTTTTTAAAATATATTTTTCATAGACATTTAAAGAACACCAAAAAAATTGCTGATTTAATTTTTTGGATAAAATATTTACATTTTTGCATATATTCCGCATTTATATGATTAATTAAGCCACAATACCTCCCGGTGAGTGTTATTTAGTGCTTTTATTATTACTTGTACCCTATTAAAATGGAGGCAATGCAAGAATCCTTAGCCAAATTGCAAAACTTGTTCATGAATCGTATGGATTCATATCAAGCAGAACTTGCCGCGGCAGCTCCTTTGACCACCATCACCACATTATTGGCGGACTTCGCGACATTTAAGTCCTTTGTCATGGCCTCCTTGAAGAGTCTCTAGGATCAACTTGGTGTTCTCTCACAGCAGATTGACAGTTTGGATATACGGGACCGCAGGAAGTTGCTGCTATTCCATGGAGTGCTGAAGTAGCAGAATAAAACTGTGCCTCCATTCTGGTTGAGTCTATCAGTAGCCGTAGTAGAGGGTGTACTGAGTGGGGAGCACTCACTCCACCCTCTATATGTATGGTCAGGTGCGGGCCCGTTAAAGCCCGTTCACCACGACGAAGGCGCGACGGCTCGCTCCATGGCGCGCGCGTACATGGCGCTGCTGAGACACTACACGCCAGCATATAGCTCACCGACCACCCTCTCTCCCTACTCAATCCCATCTCTATGTGTACGATCAGGTGCGAGCCCGGTACAGCCCGCTGCACCACAACGAAGGCGCGGCGGCTCGCTCCATGACGCGCGCGTACATGGCGCTGCTGAGACTACACGCCAGTATATAGCTCACCGACCACCCTCTCTCCCCACTAAATCCCATCTCTTTGTGTACGATCAGGTGCGAGCCCGGTACAGCCCACTGCACCACGACGAAGGCGCGGCGGCTCGCTCCCTGGCACGCGCGTACATGGCGCTGCTGAAATTCTACACGCCAGCATATAGTGCACCGACCACCCTCTCTCCCCACTGAATCCAATCTCTATGTGTACGATCAGGTGCGAGCCCGGTACAGCCCACTGCACCACGACGAAGGCGCGACGGCTCGCTCCATGACGCGCGCGTACATGGCGCTGCTGAGACTCTACACGCCAGCATATAGCTCACCGACCACCCTCTCTCCCCACTCAATGCACTCTCTATGTGTACGATCAGGTGCGAGCCTGGTACAGCCCGCTGCACCACGACGAAGGCGCGACGGCTCGCTCCATGGCGCGCGTGTACATGGCGCTGCTAAGACTACACGCCAGCATATAGCTCACCGACCACCCTCTCTCCCCACTCAATCCAATCTCTATGTGTACGGTCAGGTGCGAGCCCGGTACAGCCCGCTGCACCACGACGAAGGCGCCGCGGCTCGCTCCATGGCACTCGCGTATATGGCGCTGCTGAGACTACACGCCAGCATATAGCTCACCGACCACCCTCTCTCCCCACTGAATCCAATCTTTATGTGTACGATCAGGTGCGAGCCCGATACAGCCCGCTGCACCACGACGAAGGCGCGGCGGCTCGCTCCCTGGCACGCGCGTACATGGCGCTGCTGAGACTACACGCCAGCATATAGCTCACCGACCACCCTCTCTCCCCACTCAATCCAATCTCTATGTGTACGGTCAGGTGCGAGCCCGGTACAGCCCGCTGCACCACGACGAAGGCGCGGCGGCTCGCTCCATGGCACTCGCGTATATGGCGCTGCTGAGACTACACGCCAGCATATAGCTCACCGACCACCCTCTCTCCCCACTGAATCCAATCTTTATGTGTACGATCAGGTGCGAGCCCGATACAGCCCGCTGCACCACGACGAAGGCGCGGCGGCTCGCTCCCTGGCACGCGCGTACATGGCGCTGCTGAGACACTACACGGGCGCACTCGATGCCAGCATACGGGTCACCGATGATCCCTTGTCCCTGGATCTGGCGCTGGTAACTCACACTATACTAATGCTGTAACACTTATAAGTTTTACGACACGTTGCACCACGCTCGCTGATTTGCAAGGGCACAGGGGGACATGGCCTACCGTTCGGACCCAGTAGATATTGGTGGGTGCTGGCTGTGAACTGCAGATTGTATCAACAGGCGCATAGATGCGCGAAGATGATGCGCTGAATCTGAATTTTGTGCCAATCTAAGTTTTGTGTTAACATATAAGTAGGAAGATACAGAAATAACTTTCCATTTCAGTGGATGAGATACGCCGAAAAACCCCCTCTACTGATCCAGTTTATACTTATATTGACGATATCCCACATAACACTTATACCTTCGATGGAGCATGGGCTTGTAAGACATTTGCAGGTAAGTGGCAAAATATGGATCTACCTACGCGATGTCCACTTTGATGTTAATAATGCAATAGACCGACAGACTATACCCAGAAAAAGTTCATTCTCTCTTAATTTTAATGCATTCAAATATTGCAGATATTATTAGAAGTTGGGAGTAAATCTCAAGTCCAAAAGCAGTTTTTTTTCTTTAATAAAAATATATTAATTAGATTGGTAATGTTAATTTTATGATAGTGCAATGCGAGGAACTTTTCCCCGGCGCGCTACTGGCTGTCCATGTTCTGCTGCGACCTGCTGCTGTACTGGTGCCAGGTGTGCATCATGACCATCGCTCTAGTCAGCATCGTACATGTCAGCATTCCTTTGGTTGACTTCTCTTATATGGATCTCGGTAAGTGCATGAGTTGTCGGCATTTGACTACACATTTGACATGATAGTCCTAATACATATACATATCACCTTCAGCTGAATGTAGAGTTACAAATTGAATAAAAACGAATATGAACTGAAAGTTATTTAGAAATTTTTGTTTTATGTAAAAAGGGTACCTAGCAAACTAGCACATAGCTTGCTTGATGGTAAGCGGCCACAGTCAAGTCAAATAAGTTTAAGTAGCACAGTCTAAGTTAAAGTATAGGTATTTGCTTGCCATACTAAGATATCGCTTCAGCGCTCCTTCTTGATCCTTACTTCAAATAACGTCACTCCTTTAATATGTTGTAGAAGTTCTTCACGCAGGTGTTCCAATACGCAAAATCAGCCCAATCTTTCCTATTAAAGCTGCTTTTTAATTTATTTCCATATTACAGTCGTATGCTATAATGTCATATATTATTCTTATTACTTTTATTTGTAATGTTTCAGCTATAGTGCCAGTGATGTTGTTAGTGTACGGATTTGGATGCATACCGCAAGCCTATCTGTTCAGCATCGGCCCTCGAACTGCTCTAAACACGATGACGTTTGTTATCATTAATGTCGTATTTGGTATGTCATATAGTATTAATGAAACTCTAACCCATTCACCCTGAAATTTTAAAATATTCCATAGGTACTTTTTTTAGGAACTAAACACTATACCTGCCTACTGAAAATACATTAGGTCGATTAGGTTATTTCAAGAAGTACCTATATGATACAGGGGTAAATATACCTATAGATAAAAGTATTACATACATACAGTTTGGGCTGATAACGAAAATATGAAAAATTACGTTCTATACAAATAGGTACCTACCTATAATTCCCATAATTTCACTTCAGTTTGGAAGCCACGTTTATCTAAGTATAGTTAGCCCATCGTCTCCAACTTTAATATCGTTGCTAAACTGCCATCAATTGACATATTTTTCTTCAATTCCCAGTCCTGTGGCACTAAATAATCTAAACAATTTTAAAGTTACATCAGAGAAGTTATTGTAGGTAGGTAATCACCATTATCAACATTAGAAGCTTAATTCGTTTTTCAGGAGAAACAACTGTAATTGCCAAGATATTATACGGAGAAGGACTGAATTATGCTTTGTATTTCATGAGGCTGTCGCCCCAATTCAATATGGCATACGCTTACGTGAAAATCAAGCAAATATTCCTTTACAATAGCGAGTGTGTACTATTCAAATCCAGAAATCTGTGCAACTCAACGAAATTCCACAAATGTTGTGGTAAGTTGCTGTAACAAAATATATGTTGCAAGTATGCATTTTCTCATACAAATATTATCATTGAAACATTGTTTATTTCATAGAGAACTGTGGCATTTTGCAAGAATGTTTCTCGAGAAAGGAGTATTTTACAATAAAACCAGGAGTTCTTGTGGAAATGATAGCTATTATCGGAACAGCCGTGGTATTTACGGCACTCCTTCTACTATGGGAGTACAGGCTGATACAGAGGCTATGGAGATACTTGGTTGTGAGTTGGATTGAAGTCGAAAAGCCAGTGGATATGGTGGAATCGATCGGTCTAAAACGAGAGAAGGCAGACGTTGAGGATAAAATGAAGGAAATTAGGTTTAAAAGAAGTAAGATGACTTAACATATTTTTCGCTTCAATCTTTGTTTCAATCCGACGTAAACACAAGTCCACCAAAAGACAGTTTTATTTCACTGTAGGCTTCTGTTAGTCGTAGTACCTAAGTGTCGCGATCATCAGGGGAAACCACTCCATGGGTTTCCCCTAATGAACGCGACAATTCGAATGGCAAATGGTAATTACTTTTTGAGTTCGATAAAAGTTAAAGCTGTCACTTTCTTTACGATAATAATTGACTATAAATAAAATAAATAAATAAATATTTATAACACACACCAATTAGCCTAGCCCCAAATTAAGCACTGGTGTCGATTCTGGCGTGATTCTCTAAACTTAAAACTAAATTTAACATCAATCTCTCCTTTTCATTCCGTATAGAGAATGACAAGGATACACTGTTGTCAAATTTAAGTTTAGGTTTAGAGAATCGTGTCAAAATTGACACCACTGTAGGCTTGTGTTATGGGAATATATAATTTTATAGAAATACATATTAAACATCCATGACTGGAGTACAAATGCTCGTATTTATCACACAACCATCTGCCCCCACCGGGATTCGAACCCGGGACCTATCGAGTCGGAGAGACACCATGAAACCCGGTGTACAAACCACTCGGCCACGGAGGTCGTCACTATGTATGTGGACATTGGCTAGTAGTAACTACATTGATAAAATAATCGTTATTGCATTAGGAGAGAAAGTCGACACTTTCGGAGAATATCTTCTGGCAGAGAATGTATTGAGAGAAGAAAAAGGGTATTATCTGCTGAGGAACATAAACTTAGGCGTCGGTAAGGGCGAAGTTCTAGCCGTATCTGGACTGCAGCGCCACGGGAGAGTGAAGCTGTGTGAAATTCTGGCGGGATACAAGATACCCACATCGGGCCATGTGTGGTGTATGTCCAAATGGAAGCTGAAGATACAACCTTATATGGTGCGTATAAATATACAATAGCAGTTAGCTAAGCTTTTATATCATATAAATTGTGTAATGACGTTATAAATTTATAGTAAATGTTATAAAGGAAAATTTTATTTTATTATTTTTAGCCCATTTAAATAAAAACTTGCTTTTAAAATAGCTTTTTAGTATTTTACTCCCTAATTTGAATTATCCTTTTGGTTGATGGAGTTGTTTTGTTTGATGAGTTTGTTTACATGGCTCCATGGGGCCCTACCCCATTTTGACATTTTTTTGGATTTGGACATTTTTCTGCCATATCAGATAATTATCCTCGCAACTGAACTTCGACATTAGGAGGGAGGGCTACATTATAGATCTTGCATTACCCATCGACCCATTCCTACAGTACACGCGTAACATATCAATAAGCTGTGATAGAAGTCCTTTGCCGCATTGGATGAAAGTATACGACGCTCTCGCCCTGCTGGCTGTACTCAGGGGTGTCCCACGCAAGCACTTGGCCAACGAACTGAAGAACTACATCGAAGCTCTAGGTCAGTTACAATACATATTACATGTTCCTTACATAGATTGGATGGGTTACCAACAAGCCGTCGCTTATATTTTTTTTTATCTTCAGTATTTTGAAGGCAGATGGTGCGAGTTTAAGATTAGTTTCCCAATGAAGAATGAAAGTTTGGAAGTCCTTCTTACCTAGCAATTATGTAATTAGTTAAGTAAACTTATGATACAAGTGAAATTAGCCACACATATTTAGTTAAATTTCTGCTGCTGCCACGTCTTTTTTTTTATTTATTTATTCAGCAAAATTTACATTCAAAATGTAAATTATATCTGCCAAACTGCAACGCAGTTTGTCGGCAGAGTTCTCGTAGAAATAGTATCATATTTAAAATCATCATACTATAATATAATGCATGTTAACTTTCTATGACAGAGAAACAAAAATTATAAGAGAAAAGAGAAGAAGCAATCAACCAAAATCTTTTTCTTCTTTATATCCCTTTGGTAGGTACTTTATTTTAACGTATCTTAATAACTTTCCGTACCGCAATGCAAATGAGTGAACATTTCCAACATTCACACCAAATTAGCTTAGCCTAGCCCCAAAGTAAGCACTAGGCTTGTGTTATGGGATACTAGGGTAACGGATAGAATACATAAATATAGATTTTGATATGGAAATACAATTCAGTTCAAATCTTCAAGTTTCAGTTTCTCATTTGTTTCTCTTACCACTACCTGATAACCAGTGGTTGATTTAACTCTGTGAACAGCAGTCTGACCTTTTTCTCCTCCTTCCTAATTGTCGCGTCTGACCCATTTGCCAAGCAAATGTGTTCATACACGTTTTGATTGACGTTCATCAGATTTAAAACAGCAAGTGGACATGCGTATATACGATCTTCCACCTAATGACCGAAAGCGGTTACACTTCGCGGCGGGTGTTATTGGCGCACCGCCCGTACTTATAATGGACGAGTGTACGGCCTACCAGAAGTACGCCGTACGCCGGTCCATGTACTCAATACTGTATGTGTTGAAGAAGCGAGGGCACGCCATCGTCGTGAGTGCTAGCAGGTGAGTTGATCACAGTACTAAGGTATCATCATCAGCGTATTGTCTGCGGTCTTCCACCTAAAGACCGTAAGCGGCCTTCGTAGGTGGTGTTGGGTGCGCGGCACCCATGCCTGTCATGGACGAACCTACCAGCCGGCCTTTTCGCTAACTTTTTTGACATTAGTCTGTAACTAAAGAGAAAAATGCATATCCATCGATGCTTTACAGAACAAGTATCTTAGTGGCGTTATAATAAAGCAATAGTGATTTTCTAAATAGCTCGGTGATTATAACTAACATCTGTCAAAATGTGTTAGCGAATAGGCCTACTCAAGTACGCCGTACTCCGGTCCATGTACTCCATCCTGTATGGGTTGAAGAACGAGGCCACTTCATACTCGTGAGCGTCAGCAGGTCACTAAATCATAGTACTTAGATATCATTATCACTCTATTGTTTGCGATCTTCACGGCCTACTAGAAGTACGCCGATCGCCGATCCATGTACTACATCATGGATGTGTTGAAGAAACACATTCAGTATGTAGCGGAAATGGAATAGAGAGTTTGGGTCATGATCCACCACACGGGCCCAATGCGGATTGGCCTTCTCTAGGGACGGAATAGAGGTATTGGGTCGGGATCCACCACGTGGCCGTGGGTCCAATGAATGTTGATGGGTGCTAACGGCTGCACATGCAGCCGGAACCAACGGCTCAAAATGTCTCATCTCACATGATATAACGGAATACTTAGGTATACCCATATTTATTGGATTTATTGGTACAACTTGGAAGATACTTGGGCGGGCGGTGCTAAGAGCTGGCGAAAATTTGTCTCAAAGACAAAATCCGTTCTCACAGTTATAAACGACTGCGGCAGCATAATAATATCCTACCAATATCCATAGCAAACTTTGTGATGTTTTTAGTCCATATCCCGTAATTATAGCATGTCTTTCGATATTTTATCACCTATCCAATCAGTGTGGAGCCCCACTTGGCCATAACGAGTCGGCTGGCAATCCTAGTCGACGGACACATCTACGACATCGACCACGTGGACCGCCTGGTGCAGCGCTACAGCAGCGATGGATATACCATCGTACTGCACCTCAAGGACGAGATCAACGTGTTGCACATGTTCTCCAAGCACTTCCGGGAAGTCGTTATCAACGACGTCTCCGAGGTGAGTTGTAGAAAGATCACCGTCATCAGCTTACTAATGTCCATTTTATATCGACCATGTGAACAGCCTGGTGCAGCGCTACAGCAGCGATGGATATACCATCGTACTGCACCTCAAGGACGAGATCAACGTGTTGCACATGTTCTCCAAGCACTTCCGGGAAGTCGTTATCAACGACGTCTCCGAGGTGAGTTGTAGAAAGATCACCGTCATCAGCTTGCTAATGTCCATTTTATATCGACCATGTGAACAGCCTGGTGCAGCGCTACAGCAGCGATGGATATACCATCGTACTGCACCTCAAGGACGAGATCAACGTGTTGCACATGTTCTCCAAGCACTTCCGGGAAGTCGTTATCAACGACGTCTCCGAGGTGAGTTGTAGAAAGACCACCGTCATCAGCTTACTAATGTCCATTTTATATCGACCATGTGAACAGCCTGGTGCAGCGTTACAGCAGCGATGGATATACCATCGTACTGCACCTCAAGGACGAGATCAACGTGTTGCACACGTTCTCCAAGCACTTCCGGGAAGTCGTTATCAACGACGTCTCCGAGATGAGTTGTAGAAAGATCACCGTCATCAGCTTACTAATGTCCATTTTATATCGACCATGTGAAGAGTCTGGTGCAGCGCTACAGCAGCGATGGATATACCATCGTACTGCACTTCAAGGACGAGATCAACGTGTTGCACATGTTCTCCAAGCACTTCCGGGAAGTCGTTATCAACGACGTCTCCGAGGTGAGTTGTAGAAAGATCACCGTCATCAGCTTACTATGTCCATTTTATATCGACCATGTGAAGAGTCTGGTGCAGCGCTACAGCAGCGATGGATATACCATCGTACTGCACTTCAAGGACGAGATCAACGTGTTGCACATGTTCGCCAAGCACTTCCGGGAAGTCGTTATCAACGACGTCTCCGAGGTGAGTTGTAGAAAGATCACCGATCAGCCCCCGAACGGACGCGGACACCGCGAAACGCGGAAACGACAAAAGTACACTGGGATCCCCGAAAAAAATAGAACTCATGTGACTAGGCGTAGAAACGCACGCAGCGAAGTTTAGTCCGCGTTTCGCGCTCAATCCGATTTAAATAAATGGACCCACATTTCTCTTTTAAAATGACTTCTTTTTCCTAAACTTCATGTAAATTACTAATTTTTTATAGATAGGACCGACAAATGACTCCACCCGACCTGGGGGCCATGAGGTATTTGAAAACCTTCGGCGGTCAGAAATAACATAATGAAATCGTAAGCGTTACAGTTTTCCAAAGCATTTCCGTTAGGCGAATGGCCCCCGGATGTTAAGTGACGGTGAAGTCCATACACGAAGATAGCTGATACACAGCAGTTCTACCTGCCACACCAGCCATCCTCAGCCTGCCGGCCTGCATGTTGCTTCTTCACGCCTCTTTTAATAATCTTTTAATAACATAACGTAATCTGAGAATATTTACTTCCATAGCGTGCTCATTTCTAAATTTTCGGGGGACAAATTAAAATGTTCGCACATCGTGTGTGTTGAGTCCGTGGCAAGTCCTCGGCAGGTATTGTCTTCACTATTCAGGAACTTGTGCACCGCGGACTTAACGTCTGCGTAGGCCATAATAGTTACTACATGTAGCAAAATAATGTTACAACAGGCTATTGTAACATTACTTTGTTACATATAGTAACTATTATGGCCGTAGTAACTACTATTTTGTTACATGTAGTACAACAGGCCGTTGTTACATTATTTTGTTACATGTAGTAACTATTATGGCCTACGCAGACGTTTTGTCAGCGGAGCACAAGTTCCTGAATAGTGAAGACAATGTCCGCCGAGCCCAAAATAACACCACTACGCGGTGCCGGAGGAATGTAATGTCCGTTACGTTACAGCCTCCTTGTTTAGGTAAACTCTTTGTTCATGCAATGCCTACGGCAGGCAGATATATTAAAAAGTTAATTTCATGATTTTAATATTTGAAATAAGTAATCGTCTGTCTTTTGATAGAAGGTTCCACATCAGATGGACTTCAGGCACCAAACCTCTCGTAGTTAGATTAAAAACTTGTATTCGCCTTTAATCTAATATAAAATAATAATCAAGTCGCTGTTTCAATAAATTACTACGCCCCCAGGTTCTATCCATCAGGGTAGAACTCCGCATGGTGGAGGCGCCGGGTAATGTATGTATCTTGTTAAAGAAAAATCGTCACTTAACCAACTGATGTTAACAGGTATTGGTTAACGTACAAGTGTTGGACAAAAATCTGAAATGGGGGCAAGTATTCGAAAGAATGGAGGCGCTAAAAGCTGACAACCCTCAAGTTTACTCCTACATAGTGTCTGCTACACCGATAGACTATATTTACAACTCGATCATAGCAAACGAACGAGGTTTGAAGCCAACTCCAGATCTGATATCGTTGCTTTGCCTTAAGAGCGTGTTAGCTCAGAGAGTTTTGAAAGTACCAAGAAAGGAAGCGCTGGACAGGCTCATTCCGTTTGAAACGAAATACAGTATAACTAGGCTGAAAGAACTGCCTTGGTCAGTTATATTCCAGAGATAAGTCTTTTTTAAGGCACTGTCAATGACCAGAAGTACAGTCAGCTCCATAAAAATCGAAGTGTGAAGACTGATCAAAATTATCGAAGATACATACATGGGTGTACAGAATGCGTAGTTTTAGTCTTTGTCGTAGGTTTTTTATACCCTGTATGTATTTGGAAATTTTTGATCTGAAGAAATATAAGACTGGTTGGTCGTGTACAACAATTAGATGACTTTAAATGCAAAGATATAATTGAACCTTTGCTCTTAACATATATTTGATCACCTTATTACCTCATATTTTTATGAAGCTGACTGTACAACTACATATATACTCATAATATGACTAGGGTCACTATAATGAAGCAATGGATGATGTTTATAAAATATAGTTTAGTGCAAGTGGCCTTTAAAAATGTAAACCTTATGGAAATACACATATTAATTATTAACTTAAGATGCTTCCAAGAAAGCATACCTTAAACTAGTAAGAAATATTATTACTTGATTTTAAGAAAAGAAAAGAATTATTTTAAGTTAAAGGCGACTTTGTACAAGGAGCTTGTGCAAATCAAGTGCATTGCTTTTTCGTTTCCAAGTGTTAGTAAATTATATGACACTTAAGCATTTGCCATTACCCATTGTAACTGAAAAGCCAGCATTCGCAAGCTAATTGTGAAACCACAATAAAATAAAAAGTGATTAAATAATAGTGAGTTTAATTTTATTTAAGCTTATAGATAGAAGCTTGAATGACGTGACTAGATATGAATATCACAACGTAAAGCCCCAAACTTTAATATAATATAATAGCTTCAAAAACGAATAAAAATAACTTTAATATAATATGAAAGTTATCCTTTTGAAAATAGGGATGATGACTATTTTTTCCCCCCTCGTTTATCAGGTAGATTATCAACAAAAAGGATTGGACACGTATTTTTTTTCTCATAATATAAACATTGCAGAGATATATTGATTTGAAAAGTCGCATGACGTCACGTTTTGGTACAATTTTCACTTAAAAGTGACGTCACGAGCCCCTGCTCCCAAATTTTGACGCGCTATAACTTTGTCATTTTTTGGTTGATTACCCAAAGAAAAAATACGTGTCCATTATTTTTTGATCATCTAACTGACGGACTAAATAGAATTTCGTTTACTGTACCCCGTCATCGCCCCTATTAGCATATTTCAATGCTAATTTTCAATTGTTAAATTTTCAAATGTTATTAACTAAGTAAACGTTCGTGGCATTGTAATAAACATAGCTACACCTGATATTTTTACCCCATTTTAGTACACAGTACTAAAATCATAGCATTGCAATAGACACAGAACAGAGGTTAGAAGGGGAACTATAGACCGTTGAACCGATGTCGCTGGCTCGCCGCCACTACACTTCCACGTAAAAGATACAGGTCGCGGCCAACGATATTAAATACCCTAGATACACCAACACTAACAAAATCATGACTAAATTCTGTCCAAAAGGTACATTGGACGATTCACGGAGCTCCGTAAGATGATCGCGTAATGTAAACTTTATAAGACATTATTTACACATTGAAAATCACCTTTTAAGTACACGATATAAGGTCCTGATTAAAACGCACGCGTCAAAGAGTTATGGCAGTCCGAAAGGTAAGCTCGTAAAATTTTACGACTATTATTGCTATATGCGAAAGAATATAGACCTTATTTCTTTAATACTACGCATAATTCTGAATGCGCTATTAACAATATAGCAGGTACGGACCGCGAGGAAAAGAAACGGCTATATTACCGACCATGAATTTGAATATCGCCAATATTTTCTATCAAATCAGTTTATAGTGTGTATTCAAACAAAATTGGCTTCAAATGCGTGAAATTAACAAACATTTACTAGATACCTGGCGTAAAAACGACATTTTAATTACTATAAGTAGGTATTTATTTCACATTTTTTCACGGAGCTCAGCGGCATGTTGACGTTTCAACGGTCGGCGCGTGACTGTGAACTAAGAAGTGCTTGAGTCGTGTTCAAGCACTTCTTGATAGGGACACATTTTGAGCGAACGTGTATCTAGGGTATTTAATATCGTTGGTCGCGGCACGTAACTCTAGCGCTGAACAAAACGCTGGGGGGATAGCTACGCATGTCGGGGAATACAACTGGAGAGACAATCGGCGCAAGGCGCGGCCGCTTCGCTTCCTCCCAATTCATCTTAATTTTTACTTCTGCGCAATAACGGCCAGCGCTAGTTTCGTGCCGCGACTTATAATAGCCAATCAAACGACGCGACATCAAACAATCGAACCAATCAGCGCTCACACCCGAGAGTAACCAGACGCAATCAGAACAAAGTTTTGTTAAAGTTATAAGCATTTGCTCACACATAACTGTGACGCACCTGCCCCGCTCACAAGGCTCTTCTAACCTCTTTCTGCTTTCTGTGGCAATAGATGAATGTGGTCTAAATAACAAGAATTGCATGATGATAAATAATATTGGTAATACAAGTTTTTTGTTAGCAAAAACCTTATACAAAAAGGCCTAGCCCCATTGGCTTTTATTGGTTGATAATATCAGATAGTTTTTTGTGATGTTTGTTTTTAGTAAATTATGTATGAAAACAGACACACCGCTGCGATAATAAATAAGCAATTGAATTATAACGAAATATCACAGTAACGCATCCAATATTATCGACCGATCATAATGAACCTATGGTCAGGTGGCTGTAATGGGCCAAATCTGAAAACAGACATAAACAATATGGAAACACCACAACTGAGAAAGTGCAATTAGCACAGCACTAACCATTACCATAATGTTAGTAAAGAGGTATATCTTTTTCACTTAGCAAATTTAGTGATGAAAATAAAGCTACAAATATAAATTGCTAGAACAAACTTAAATTACTTCATTCAAAGTTTCACCTTCTCTAACATAACAAAAAATTAACAGATTTTGATTGCATTACTACAAAGTGATAGCTTGGAAGTTGTGAATATGAAATAATTTTTTCATCCAACTATATACACTTTGAAAAGTTTAAATCTTAGTTAATTTAGATATTGGTGCCAATTCTGGCGTGATTCTTTAAACTTAAAACTAAATTTAACATCAGTCTCTCCTTTTCATTCTATATAGAGAATGACAAGGATATACTGCTGCCAAATTTAAGTTTAGGTTTAGAGAACCATGCTAGAATCGACACCATTGTCCACTATTCACCAATTAGGTACATATATTTAGTTTAAAATGATATATATATTTTGTGGAAATCTAAGTATTGGACTTTCACATTCAATTTATACCTGTCACATTACAAAAAGATGAAGTGTGACAAATCATCAAAATAGTTTTTTTCTAATTAAGACTATGTCAAGATTGTGAGCTTTTAGTTTATTAATTTATTAAAAGTTTAATTACAAGAACACCAAATAAACTAAATATGTATAAACATTAGTAGAATACCTATTGATTCAACCACCAATATGAAAATATTTAGCAAAGAAAAGCAGGCCCGTTTAACACAAGCAACCAAACTCTTAGCAAGACATTGTATACACAAACCAATTAAATGTTAGTATTATCTAATGAAGTGTAGTGTGAGATCTGTGCAGCTCAGCAGTGGAGCCTCTGGCATGTGCCATCATGTTTTCGATTCTATTTGTGGTTTCTCTGACCATAGAGAAGTCGGACAAATCAGGCAAATCAAGCACAATGTGAGCAGATAGACGTTTGTATACTGAATTAGAATCTTTTTTATTTCTCCTCGCTTCCTCATATTTTAACTGCTGTTTTAAAAATATAGATTGTTTTAGCATCTCCTGAATATTCATAAAGCTGTTTGCTGCTCCGTCCATTGATTTCACTGCACTGAAAATGAGATGATAAAACAATTAATTTGTGTATATTTTTGGATTGGATTAGATATTCATCTTAAAATGTGTTGTTTTATAAGCCATGTTATAATTTATTAGTAAAATATTGTTCTTCACAATATCACATTAACCAATCTAAAGTATTTTTTCTTATAATAAGCCTTATGAAGAACCTACTAATATTATGTGAAAGTTTGTTACTCATTCACACAAAAACTACTAAATGGATTTGGATGAAATTTTGTACGCGTATAGTTTATGACCTGGAATGGGTAAAACTGTACTTCCAGGGCCCAAAAGGTGATACTTGTTTTTTTTTGTAGAAAAGGTCTTTTTAACAGTGTTTTTTTCTGGCGCTTCGCCGGCCGCTGCCGCGGCACGCTCGCTTTGCTCGCTCGGCTCGCGCGTTATGGTCACAACACTAACCTAGTGTGAAGTATCACCACTTGATAAGAAAAGTAAAAATTTTCAATATTTTTTTCCAAAAAACTACCAGTGCATAAGTGTGACATTTTTTTTAATAATGTGGTTAACAGAAACCTTTTTAACAACAAAATGCGAAATTACAACCAACAAAACTGTGAAGTTTTTACTTTTGGGCCCTGGAAGTACAGTATATCCCTGGAATGAGACAAAGTGTACTTTTTATCCCAGAATAAGTGATGTTCCTGAGGGATTCTACAAAAATTTAACGCGGGCGCAGTCGCGACCCGAGAGTAGGTATAAAAATTTAAATAAAGTTTTCACCTCAGAGCATATTCCACATCGTAGCATCTTCCTTGTAGTTCATGTTGAAGCTTAGTGACTTCGACTCGCCTCTCGACCATCGGTGGCAAAGCTTTCCTGACGTGTTCTTGTAATCTGAACAAAGCCAGCGATGGCTCGTTCGCCACGATATGCATATTTTCAGATATTCGTTCAGCAGCTAAAACATTACGAAGAATTAGGACCCATAATAACCATTTGCCACAGTCCAAAACAGAAATAATTTGTTTACCTTTCTTTGCCTTAGATTCTAAATCAGGATCACCCTGATAAACAAATGCCATTTTGATTGAGCCACATGAAATTTAAAATTGTTTGATAATGTTTATTGGTAAGGTTTTTGAGAATTTTAATTATTAAATAAGGTAAGTTTAGCGGAATATTCCAAATTTCCAATTTTATTAAAATAACCTAGAGCATCATTGCCATTAAAAAAAAATCATGACATTGACACTATTGACAGTGCTACGTTCCAAACCTACGCTGCTACACTCTAAGCTCCACAGATCACTATATATGTAGCAAGCTACTAAGCTCTCAGTACAACTTTTTCTGATATTCATAGATTGATGGAGTGCCAAGTATGTATGGATATCTCTATTACAAAAAAGAGCATGCTTCTTTTATCAGGACGACCTCAAGACGTCGGACTCAAATCTATGTCAGACTCCATGTATGATCAGCATAGAGCATATACCAGAGAATAGTTCTATATGTATATGCTCTAAGATGATCCAGCAAATTTGATTCCTGACCTGCCCCATCATGAGCTTCTTTTCTTATAACCCTTTTAAAAAATAAGGTTGATTTTTGTTTAAATGTACGTATTCCTGCCCCTCTAGCATGACCACTGAAACGGGATATGATAAAGCGATATATCGGCATTATCTGTCAGACTACAGTGGAGTTTGACAGTTGAGACTCGATGTTTGAAGTGACCACAGACTATTTAGATACTACGAAGTAACAGATATTACCACCACAGACTAGTTTACCACCTCCCTGTGACATAAGTTTCGTCCATGGAACAAGGATTTCCCTATTAATAGTTTACCAACGTTTTTTTTATACGGTCAAGATATGGAAAGAGTTTCTTTTACATCCACGATTTATAATACATAGTTATTTTGAAATAAAAGCCACTATTCCAATTTTGTAAATAACATAACCTATTCCAAAGATTTTAAATCTTTGACCTATTCCATATTATCACAGTTTCCTTGTTATTAGAAGGTCCTCAGTGCAATTCACACATGAGAACTTATGTGTATTCACATTTTAAGCGAATTGTTAGGCAAGAAGGTCAAGAATCAGTCGGTTCGATCGTACGTAGACAAGGATAGCCATCTCAGTATTTTCCCCAAAAGTACGGTTTTTTCTATGATATCCATTCCCATCATGAGAGTACATTCTATATCTATGTATTACCTACGTACCAAAAAATTGAACAAAAACTAAGGACGAGGCCGTAAGGGTTCTGTTAATTGCCCATAAAAGAAAATATTTAAAAAACAATTGTGAGGGCTGTATGGACTCAGAATCCTTTGTTTGTCCCTTTTGGAACGGTCGACCAAAAAAATTTGACGGTAGGGATGTTACCTTAATGACGAAAAATTAATCTATTTTTAAAATAATTGAAATGTGATTTTTCTCATATAACAATTGTAAATTGAAATTGAAACAATTAATTAAGATTTTCGGAATCATAATATTAAATGAGAACTTATTTAAGGTAATTTTGTAAAAAAAAAAAATATGTTTTAAATTACCGATTCGATAAAATTAACAGTTCGATAAATTTTATGACTTAGTGCGCATCTCTAATAACAATAACGAACAAAAAATATTTATTTAATCTTAGTTTAACCGTCAGGCAACGGACCTCAAAACAAACTAGGAGTGGGCGTTTTAGAATAACGATGCGTGATTACGATGCCAGGTTTGGATGTGCGCATCCGATGCGATTGAATGCCGTTATTAGATGCCAATGCCGTCTAGTTTTTGTCAACGTTACTATAGCAACAGTGCCGCAAACTTATCTGTGCCGGTGAAGATGTCGTTAGCGGTGAACAAATATGTTATAAAAATGTAACAATGCTATGGATAAATTGTAGTTCCAAGTTTTGCCACTGGCACTGAAAAGTTTGTGATACTACGATACTGAAATTCACTTGGCATCGGTGCGATGCCGGCATCGGTGCGCGGATATGATGCGATTTATCTGATACCGATGCATATCGATTTCACAAATATCTAAAAACGCCCATCTCTAAAACAAACACAAAATTGCGGTATATCTGTCATTTTGACAATAGTACCAACATAATAAACATATTTTTACCACAAACAACGAGAAACATGTTACTTTTGCATGAATAAATTTAATGGTCAAAGTTGACGTTAACCTACAAAATTTTTTTTTTTTTTTCTCGAGTTCTATTCGTTTCCGCCAATAAAGATTTCGGCTCATCTTTCCATTATATGTAATTGAGTTGCAAGCTGAAATTTTTGTCACGCAAAGTATTAACTATTAAAAACACGTACACGAAATCTTTTTTGGCGGAAACGAATAGAACTCGAGAAAAAAATTATTGAAAATTAATATTTCTGTAGGTTATGAGTCAATTTTGACAACAATTTTTTTTTCGCAATTTTCATGATCAGTGCTGCCATTTTTTTATGCAAAAATAACATGTTTCTCGTTGTCTATGGTAAATATAAGTTTATTATGTTGGTACTATTGTCAAAATGTGACAATTTACCGCCATTAATGAGATCTGTCAGTCAGTGTTTGTGTTTAAACTTGTTTTATTTAAGCGGCTAAACTGTATATCTAAGGCCCAAGTGGTGATACTTCACACTAGGTTAGGTTAGGTAGGCCGCGGCAGCGGCCGGCGAAGCGCCAGAAAGAAAAATTTGTTAATAGACTTTTTCTACAGAAAAATCAAATATCACCTCTAGGCTCTGGAAGTACAGATTTACCTTTAAAACTCCTCTAATTTTTTATAATTATCATTTCTGTAAAAAAACGCCGGGAGGGGGGGGGGTTACCCTTCCCTCTGAGGGGTCTTCCCTAATACCTATCCCCCTGAAATTCCACTACATATAACAGATTTCATGAATTTTTTCAGATTTCATGTTAAAAAAAAACTGCATTTCCGCCAAAAATCATTTATGGCGGGGGGGGGGGGGGGAGCCCCCCCTCAAATTACCCCGAAATTCAATTACATATAATGGAATTAAGTACCAAGATTTCGTATACGTGTTTCTCATAATTAATACTTTGCGTGACAAAAAATTCAAGTCGCTACTCAACCACAGCTAATGGAAAGCGATACCCTAATAATCGATAATAACATTCAATTTTCAATAATCAAACTTTATATTTTTTTGGACTTCTCTAACTGTCACTTTTCCAGTTATGTTTAGAATTTGTTAATGGTGTCGATTCTGGCATGATTCTCTATACCTAAACTTAAATTTGACAACAGTGTACCTGGTCATTCTCTATACGGAATGAAAAGGAGAGACTGATTTTTAATTTAGTTTTAAGTTTATAGAATCATATCAGAATCGACACCAATATTTGTTAAGTTCAGAGGTTAAGATACAATAAAAATTGAAAAATAGCCAGCAGGTTTGATAATTTATCAATGTAGTTTGAGTAATTCACGGCAGTTGCATAGTTTCTTCATTCTTGACAGTGAGACAGTATTGTTAAAACGGTAGTGAAATATCTATCAACAGGGTTATGCCGGTAAGTAAGTGCACACTCTTTTGGCGCGTGTTCCTTATTTGATAAGCATTTGGTTAAAATTACAATAAACTTTAAAAACAAATTGCATTCTATATCTGAACTGTGAGTTTATAACTAAGTAGGAATCGTTCAGATAACCCTGAGCTAAAAGTGTGATTGATTTTATATTATTTGTATAGACAATGACATTGATGCAAACATAATTTTATCAGATCCTGTTAGATATTATCAGTGGGTATTAGTAAATGATACTCTGTACTGATAACTGTTTGTTGTACTTCAATAAAGCTCAATGTGTGAGGTGTTTTACTAACTTTTCATTGTTTATTCTTACAGGCTAACTGATAGTTTATGGGAAAAATACTGTTAATTGCTTGAAGAGTAATTTTAAACAATTTAGATGGTCAGTATTCTATAAGAATGTATACATTGTGTTGCTAAGCTACCAGAGTTTGCTTGTGAACAAACATTTGCTGCATGTTTACACATTTTAAAGTTCTTCTGTCAGGTGCATTGCATGCACTGAACAAAAATCCGCGGCGGATTAAACGGACGGAGAGAGTGCGATAGTTCATATAAAATCATCATTATCATCATCAGCCTATTAATGTCCCCACTGCTGGGGCACAGGCCTTCCCTATGGATGGAATAGGGAGATTGGGCCATGACCCACCACGCGGGCCCAGTGCGGATTAGTGGGTGCTAAAGACTGCAGATGCAGCTGGGACCAACGGCTTAATGTGCCTTTCGAAGTACGGAGGAACTTGAGATAGAAGATTTTTGGTCACCCATCAAATGACCGACCACTGTGAAAATTGCTTAAATTCAACCATCATCATATAAAATACATACAATTTGGGCGGATTTTTTCGCTGTGACCCAAGCCACTGCGGCCCGACATAATGTGCTATATACTATCCATATAGGGACAGCATCAAATATAGTCAACATGAAAAAATTGTCTTTGCATTTGTTCTAAAGATCATCTTAATTTTAGATATCTTTCTAGCAATAGCTTTGTTTAATACCAACTATTAGAGCATTATTAAATAATTGTAAAGTTGTGATAGAATGACTTTAATATTTTTTTGGTTTCTAAATTATTAATGATTTCAATACAATTTCAATTACAGGACACTCGAGTTTTTGATCACATATTGGGAATCATAGTGAATTTTATGTTTCCCATCAAGATGTTGCTTCGGACATATTCCTTATCCATCTTGATGATTGACATAGCTTGGGTAGTGATCAATGCAATATATGCAGTTCTGCAGGCAACCTATGAACTGTTTAGACCACCACCCTTGAAGTCTGTAAGACTGGAGACTGCTTTGGTATGGACATTTAATAATAATTTGGTTTCATGTAAAACAGCTAAATATAAGAATAATAATAGGAAAAAGATTGAGTGCTTGCATCATTCCATATGGTTTTTGAGAGTAATATATAACAATGTAGACTGCCACCACTACCACTTTACATTTGATTTTTATAATAAGTCATAAGTAATCACTAATAATTGTAATTTTAATTATTTTACTTTTGAATAAGTGTAATTAAACATCGTAATGTTTCAGCTTCTGTCAAACTTTCCACTGTTGTCTAAAAGCAATCGCTTTTAGTGTT